GCATGGCTCCTTCATACAGTAAGTAACCAAGCTCTCAAAATGTGCAGCTGGTGGGCTCCCCCCACCCACCACATGAACAGACTGCCAGTGTACTGCATGTAGAGGGCTATGTAGTCAGTTGACAAGTCCTTGCCCCACAGAGTTTACAGTCTACATAAGGGGTGGCCAACTTTAGCCAGGTCCTTGTTGTTCTGTCATTGATTTTCCTTAAAAACTTGATTATTATCCAAGGCACATCCTGGAAAGGCAAAAGGGGCAGCCTGAAATAAAACCTCAGGTCTTTGTAAAACGGCACGCAAACCTTTTTGTTTTTAAAGGTAATCTCGGTCTTTTTAGCAAACCAGCAAGAACAAATAAATAAATTAAAACTGACTACAGAGACAGGACAGAAAACAATTTGGTCATACCACGGCTGCATTTCAACACATGCTTCATCGAACATGCAATCCGGTTGCTTTGTGCTACCTGCTTCTTGCTCATTGTGCCACTGGGGCGCCAGGCGCTGAGACAATGTGCAGGCAATATGCTGTTCACGGGAAGTGGGAGCCCGCCAGCCACGCAGATCAGGAGCACACAAGTCCCCACAATGCACTTCATTTCCAATATCTGCATGCCGTGTTGAAGAGAGCAACCTGTGGATTTCCCAGGCCAGGTGCAGCTTGACTTTATGCCCCCAGCGTCCCTGCATGCATGCCTAGCAGCTGGACCTGCTGGAAAACCCACGCATGGCTTCTTCATACAATAAGTAATCAAGCTCTCAAAATGTGCAGCTGGTGGGCTCCCCCCACCCACCACATGAACAGACTGCCAGTGTACTGCATGTAGAGGGCTAGGTAGTCAGTTGAAAAGTCCTTGCCCCACAGAGTTTGCAGTCTACATAAGGGACGGCCAACTTTAGCCAGGTCCTTCCTGTTCTGTCACTGATTTTCCTTAAAAACTTGATCACTATCCAAGGCACGTCCTTGAAAGGCAAAAGGGGCACAGGGAACAGCCAGCCTGCCTTTCAAAGGGAGGCTCTGTCGGGAAGCATATTAACCCCCCCCCCCAGCCCACTTCTACCGCATGCCATCTGAGTGCACGCACACTTCTGGCCTTCCTGCTGCCCAGATGGACAATCCAGGAAGGGGTCCGAACATCTCCCCCCCAGCCCGTAGGTACAGTGGGGCAATTGGGGGCTCTGCCCCCTTCCTTAAAGGGCCAGCCCCACAAGATTTCCTTCTGAAAATGGTAAGGGATTTCATTGCTTTAGGGAGGGGAAGAATGGGGTGGTGGTGGCAGCGGCTTTGCATTTCATTCATGTCTGGGGTGGCTTGTGGTGTGGGGTGTGTGTTTGTGCTGCATTTAATTATTAGTATCATTGTCTTTATTATTACTTAAAAGTACAATTGTTGAGAGACAGACAGGAAAATAACGGCAAATGAGGGCAGCCCCACCTGAAATTTTTTTGCCCCACAAGCCACAAAATCCTTGGCACAGATGAAAGTGGGGCCCCCAAAGGAACACAGAAGTCGGCCCTCCCTGTTCCACATCACATCATAAATGATCGGAAACGACCTCTGACGACCTCAAGCAACAAGGGGACGGAAGGAAAAGCTAGTGAGGATTTGCCCCCTCCGGAAATTTGACCAGTGTCCTTCTTGCCCCCGCCCACCGCCTCTTCCAAAATGCCACTGCCGGATGTAACAAAGGTTGCGCCAAACTGCCCACACCACCCTCTGCAAGCCAGGGCTGGAATTGTGCTGGGGGCGAGCAGGGATAACAGAGACAAAAGACCGATGCTACAAACAGAAGGGGCTCCCTCAGCACTGGACACGTTTCTAGAGGCGCTGACAGGAAAAAGAAAATACACGAGTCTTAATACCGTCATTACGAATATATATATATTTCTACAATGGATTTCCACGTGTTCAAAGCACTTCAAGTGTGTTACCTTGTAAGGTAAAGCCAGTATTTACCACCCCCTTGCTACGGACCCTGAAGCTGAGAGCCCGTGGCTTGCCTGGAGTCGGCTAGTGAGTTCTTAACAACGGAGAAAGGGAATCCACAGAACTTCCCTGCTCACGTTCAGCCACTAGGCTAACACCAGCTCTTCAACCATCTGTTTATTACAGGGAGGGATGGAATATAAGGCACTTGCGCACAAAGGAGCACATTGGCTCGCAAAGGAAGGCTGGGGATGCATCAAGCTGAAAGGTAGTGGTATGATGTTAAGAACGAGGGAGGAGAAAAGCTGGGGAAACGGTGTTCCTTCGGGGAACGCAAAGCCTGCAAGATCTGCCAGTACCAAACACGGCCCTGTCGTTCACCCTTCTTGATCATGGAAAGGGCTAATCCGTTTGAGTTCATGATAACGGGTAGATCTCTGCCATGAATGGAGATCTGCCATGTCTTATTTAAGAGCTAGATAATTGACGACGTCTCTAGTATCATTGGCTCTAATATCATCTGACTGTTTAGTATATTTTATGCCTTCTTCCGCGGCACTGAAAGCTCTACCTGTGATTTTGCCTTCCCCAATTTATCCTCGCAACAGTCCTGTGAGACCAGGCCAGTTACCACCTCTTAACCTAGGTAGGTAGGCTGGTGTCTGAATGGGGGATTTGAACCTGGGATGTGCCAGATTGTAGTCCAACAGTAATCTCTACATCATGGCGGCTCACCCCTTATCTTAGTCCTGGAGGTATCGTTACCATTCCTCATCCATTTGGCTGGTGCTACTCCATGCCATTCTTAAGACCTCACTCTTTTATACTCTCCACCCAGGAAAGGAAGGACTGTGATCCAGCAGGGGTCTTACAGGCCCTCTACTACCTCTGGTTGTTCTGTCCAGTCAGAAGCCTTCCCAAATTCCAACCGTTGCTTGTTACTCACATACACAAGAAGGAGGAGGAGGAGGAGGAGGAGGAGATTGGATTTATACCCCGCCCTTCACTACCCAAAGGAGTCTCAGAGTGGCTTACAATCTCCTTTCCCTTCCACAGACACCCTGTGAGGTAGGTGGGACTGAGAGAACTTTCGAGAACTGCTCATGAGAGGACAGCTCTGAAAGGACTTGTGACTGACCCAAGGTCACACCAACAGATGCATGAGGAGGCGTGGGGAATCAAACCCGGTTCTCCCAGATTAGAGTCCGTGCTCGTAACCACTACGTCAAACTGGCTCAAAGAGTTGCGGTTCTCAAGGATACCTGACCTGTGCATTAGGACCAGACAGCCAAGTCTCTGTTCCAAGAACTGCCATCGAAAGAAGGCATTCCCCGCCCAGCCACCTTTGCTCGGTTTCCCTTCTTTTGTGTCCCGCTGCCCTGACAGAATCCTAGGAGACCGGAGGGTGGCAGGAGGAACAGGCACCTGGTGGGTCAAGGGCCAGGGCGAGAGGCAGGCAGGCAGGCAGGCAGGCAGGCTAGCTTGAGAATGGTCAGAAGAGAGAAGGGGAAACAGTTTGGGTTGGCGGCAGAAGCAGAAACGGAGGGAGGAGGGCAGCGTGAGAGAGCGAGGCAACAAATCGAAACCTGCTGCAATGCTGCAGCTATCCAGAGAGGGATTCCACAAGCTTGCACGTCTGTGCATCTGCAGCACGCATGCTCATAGGCACCTTGTGCTTTTTTAACCAGACTTGTAGCCAGTGAGGTGGGGGGGTGGGGTGAAGTTCTGTGTGTGTCTGAGAGAGAGAGAGAGAGAGAGCAGCTTTGAGCTCAGCACCCCTCCCATGCTGGCTCTGCTTAATACCGTTTCGCGATGGCTCAGAAGCTTCTGAATCCAGTTTTGTTTTTAAAAACAACCGTGTCCAGGAATCTCCCTGACTGACCAGTTTAGACGGTGCTTATGTTTCCAAATTCGGGATGGGCTAAAGTGGGATTCTTCGGGGTAGAAAGAGGGCTCACAGACACCTCGACACGCCTTGAAAACTTCAGCTTTGTGCCCACAAAGTGCCACGCTAAATAGTCTCTACTCTGGAAATAGCAGCTCTTTAAAAACGACAAGAGTTCTCCATCCAAGGAATAGTTCAAAGCAGCCACTTCGCTGCCAGTCCCAAACTGGCCACAGTGAAAACACCGACCAAAGCACCCTGATTCTCTGGAGGAGGATTATGCTACATACGCCTAGGGAGATCAGAATGATTCCGCCTAATTTTCCCAAAGAACAACCCCCCCCCCAGTAAGAATCTCCCTCTTGCTCAACAAAATCAAAATGGCCTGGAATAGGAACCCCCTCCCTTTTGACAGTAAAGTTGACTTCTCACTCTACAATTTGTGCTCTGGAACATGCGTGCAAATGCAAAATACACACCTTCTGTGCAATTGGGAAGGATCCTGGATTACTGACTTTGCACACAGAAGCGGAGACCTAATTCCGCTCTCCTGTGTGCCACACCTGTGTGTGTTTTAAAGCAAGCCGCAGCCAACGCAACTGACGTGGCACGTGTGCATCGCCGGACTCCCATTTTCTGCAGCCAGAGCACGAATTGTGGGTGAGAAGCGGGGGCGCCCACCAGGCAGTCGCCCCCCCCCCGTGCCTCCACCCTATCGACTGCAGCTTCCCGGCTTCTCTTTCAGGCCAACGGGAAGCCCGGGCGGCCCTTGCGGTACCGCATGCGCATACGGAAGAAAGTGTACATGCCCAACAGGCACATGGAGGAGAGGAGGTAGAGAACAACACACAAGCTGACATCCAGCCGAGAAAAGCCGACTCCCAGCAAGCGGAGCCATTGGCTCCTCCTCAGGGCGGCCCCGCCCTCCCCGCCCACTTCCTCCTCCATGGCCTCCATCATCTGCTGGGCTCCCAAGCCCTTGCGTTTGAGGCGTTCCCAGACTGCGTCGTGATCGAAAGACTGGTGGCGGCTCTCGTCCTCCACCAGCACCAGCCCCGTGTCCCTCCTGCTCCGCCGGTGTCCATCGCCGGCCTGGGCGGCCGCTTTCAAAGCTTTGCTCTTGTAGTGCTGCTCACTGAAGGAATCCAGATCGACGATGTCATCCTCCAGCTCTTTCGCCTTTGCGCTCTTGCCAAGCTTGATAATGCTTGGTCTCCGCAGCTCGGAACCACCTGACCGGTCTGAGCCGGATCGCCTTTTCTCCTCCCTCCCTTGTTCGGGTTTCTCGGTCCTCTCTTCAGCTCCTCGGGCGTCCTCCCCTCCTCCTCCTTCCTCCCAGTTTCCTTCGCTCTCAATGTTGCGCTCCTCAACCTCTCGACCGTGTCTCCCCCTCTCGAAGTTCATGTAATCCATGTAGACGTTGTTCCGTGAGAAGTGGGACTTGAAGAACCTCAAGATGGCCCTCTCATCCCACATGCGTCTCCCGTTGATGATTAATTGGCACGACCAACACAACATCTGGGGAGGCCACTGGATCTTGGGAAATCGGGGGTCGTCGCTTTGGGTACCTGAATAATAATAATGATGATGATGATGATGATGATGATAATGATAACAACAACAACAACAACAACAACAACAGTAATAAACAACAACAACAATCATTACTTGGTTTCTATACACTACTTTTCTCTACCTGAAGGAGTCTCTAAGCGGTTTACAATCGCTTTACTTTCCTCCAGCCACACAACAGGCACCTTGTGAGGTAGGTGGGGCTGAGAGAGTTCTGAGAGAGCTGTGATTGGCTGAAGGTCACCCAGCAGGTGTCGTGTGGAGGAGCGGGGGAATCAAACCTGGTTCTCCAGATTAGAGTCCCCCGCTCTTCGCCACGACACCATGCTGGCTCTCAGGAAAACCAAACTGAAGTTTAAGATGTTGTTATGAAGATAAAACAATGACCTTAAACAATGTTCTCTGTGGACTATGCTCAACCTGGGCAACAACTCACTTGGCTCTCATTCCCCCTGCCTTTAATCTGGAGAAATTAAAAACTTCATTTTATATGGCGTAATGGGGAGAATGCAGATAGAGTGTTTACATGGACACCCTCCCCCATAGCCACTGTAGTAAGGGGGACAGAACTATGCTCCATTTTTCAAAATGGCACAGGGCAACTTGCTGCCACACACCATTCCTCTCCATTTTATGCCCTGTAAAGGGCTTTTTGTTTTGTTTCCCAGCTAAGCCATGCAGTAGCATTACATGTAAGAAAAGGGAGGGGAAGGGGGGGGACTTTGCTGCGGGGGACTACCACTGAAATCATCACTTTTGACTAAGGTAGAGGGCAGCAGTGGCAGTTAGTAGTGTGTAGGCACTGTTTCTGTCCCTCTTGCTGCATATGCGATTGCGGGGCATGCTTTTGAACCCCTTTCTCAGATTGCAGATGCAGCCTTACATACCTGATCAAGTATCTCTATATAATAATCCTCTTAGCGTATTGGCCGTTTCCAGCTCTCCCATTGGCTGTGCAATGTGCTCCATCAGCCATTGGCCCGTCAGCTGCCACTCAAGAGTACTCGAGTGCCATTGGCTGGGTGCTGGGTCTGCTCCTCTTCCCCGCCCACTCCAGCCACTGTTCCCTTTCAGAATAACTGGCAAACAGCTCTCTTTCCTGACAAAGACACTTCTCCTGCTTGGCTCCTCTGTGAGATTAATTTTTCCCTCGGTGGCTGTTGGTAGGCAACCAAGCTTGGTTCTGTCAGTAAAAAGACAAAGAATGGAAACCCTTTGCAGGCCTTTGTGAAGAAGAAGAAGAAGAGATTGGATTTATACCTTGCCCTTCACTACTCAAAGGTGTCTCAGAGTGGCTTACAAACTCCTTTCCCTTCCCCTCCCCACAACAGACACCCTGTGAGGTAGGTGGGGCTGAGAGAGCTCTTGACAGAAACTGCTCTTTTTCAAGGACAGCTCATATCAGAACTACGGCTTGCCCAAGGTCGTCCAGCCAGGTGCAAGTGAAGGAGTGGGGAATCAAACCCGGTTCTCCCAGATTAGAGTCCGCGCACTTAAACACTACACCAAACTGGCTCATTGGGGCTAGGGTTGCAAACTCCAGGTTGGGAAATTCCTGGATATTCTGTGTCTAAGGAGGCCAGAGTTTGGGGATGGGAGAGGCCTCAACTGAACAGAATGCCATAGAGCCCACCCTCCAAAGCAGTTATTTTCTCCAGGGGGGGGAGAGATATGTTTTCTGGAGTTCAGTTGAGATACCTAGTGATCTTCAGGCTCCACCTGGAGGTTGGCTACCCTAGGCATAGCAGTTAGCACTTCAGAGCAGGGTCTGCCAGACCTAGGTTCTTGCTGTGGAAGCTGTGATTTTGGACCAGTCACAGGCTTTCAGTGTAACCCCCTCCCCCGCCGACTGCCAGCTTGGCCACTTTCCTGTCAGAATAAACTGTGAAAATTGCTAGGCAACCAAGCTTGGTTCTGTCAGTAAAACAGGGTTGTTATGCAAGTCAAAAGGGGGAGAGGAGAATGATGTAAGCTGCTTTGGTCTCCACTGCAGAGAAAACCTGTACTTTTCCTCCTGTGGAAGTATTGTTGCCAATTTCCAGGTGAGGGCTGGAGATCACTCAGAATTACAACTACTCTCCAGATGGCAGAGATCAGTTCCCCTGGAGAAAATGGTAGACTATGTGTCCTTATATCCTGCTGAGTTGGCCCCCCTATGACAGCCAATGTGACGTAGCAGTCAGGGCTTCAGAGCATGGAAGAGGCTGCAGGTGAGGAAGGGGAGACGGAAAGCTGAAGAGTGAAAGGCAGATAATGACAGGTTGATGCTTGGCTGGGAAGGATAGGGTTGCTAACTCCAGGTTGGGAAATTCCTGGAGACTTGAGGGGTGGAGCCTGGAGAAGGTAGGGTTTGAGGAGGGGTGGGACCTCAGACACGTACAATGCCATAGACTCCACCCTCCAAGCCAGCCGTTCCCTCCTGGGGAACCATTGCTGCCAATCTCCAGGTGGGACTGTTACTGTGATAAGTGCGCTAAAGTAAATAATGCAGTACTGCAAAAATCTGAAAATATATGCTGTTTAAATAAGTTAAAGTGATATGCATATATTTTCAAATTTTTGCAGGACTGCATTATTTAGTTTAGCGCACTTATCACAGTAACAATCCCTGTGTAGTATAATATCCATATACTGTGTACCATACTTTGCTTAATCTCCACGTGGGGGCTGGAGATCATCAGAATTACAACTACTCTCAAGGAGGGAGGGGGGAGGAGATAGAAAGCTGAAGTCAGAGGGGCAGATAAAGGTAGGTTGATGGTTGGCTGGAAGGGAGATAGGGTCGCCAACTCCAGGTTGCGAAATTTCTGGAGATTTGAGGGGTGGAGCCTGGAGAGGGTGAGGTTAGAGGAGGGGTGGGACCTCAGACAGGTACAATGGCATAGACTCCACCCTCCAAACCAGCCGTTCCCTCCTGGGGAATCATTGTTGCCAATCTCTAGGGGAGGGCTGGAGATCACTCAAAATTACAACTGCTCTTCAGGTAGCAGAGATCAATTCCTCTGGAGAAAATGGTGGACTCTGTGTCCTTGCTGAGGTTGCCACAGCAAATTGACGCTGAGTGCCCAAGGCTAGGGCACTCCCCCGGAGCCAGTTTCTAAAGCTTGTTGTATTTATTTCGACAATGGGCCTTATTCCTAGTATATAATATATCACATAAACACCTTCCCAGGCTAGCCCAAGCTTGTCAGATCTCAGAAGCTAAGCACGGTCGGCCTTGGCTAGTATTTGGAAGGGCAACCCCCAAGGAATACAAGGGGTGTAACATAGAGGCAAAACCACATCTGAAACATCTCTTGCCTTAAAAACAAGTCTAGTTTGCCACCTAGTGGTGCATAACGCTAAAAGAGCTAGAACTTCTGCCTGCCAGACAATCTTAGGATATCTTGGCTAGTCTACACATACTGCCATATGATGACAATGATGATGATGATATCATCATGTAAACATCTTCCCACAATCTTTGACCCACCAAGGGAGATCCGTGTGCAGAAGGGGACTTACGTGCAGGCATCTGACACAAGAGGGAAAAGACACTGGGATGCTCACCTGTAGGGGCCTGGACCACATTTTTGTGGTTCAGTTTGTGTTTCATGGCTGCACCATGAACTGGTTAAAATTTGTCACGAGCACTTTGTGCCCATTCCTACTCATCTGAGCCCCATCCCCAACTAGAAGGATGCACCATTTGCTACAAGTCAGAATGCTGATGCCTGTTAGGGTTACTAACTGTTGTACAAGGTCTGGTGTACGTGACTCAAACTGGGTCAGGGTCTAGATCAGCAGTCCTCACTCCAGTGCTCACGGAGAGCAGCACCTGCAACTGCCATCAACCAAGAGCCACGTGACAACCGTACCACCACCGCACTAAACACACACACACAACAAGACATAAGTACTGATTTTAAATGTGTATAACGATAACCTTTTTCGTTACCAGAGCACCTCTGAGCACGCAGGGGTGTCTCTCCCTGGCACCACTGTGGAATCCCCTAGCCACTCGTTCCTACCCCTTTTCTCTGGCACACCCCCACAAAAGCCCACAGATGCAAGGGCGATTTAACGGGGGGGGGGCCCTCCCTTTTCTTACCTGTAACGCTACAGCGTGGTTCAGCTGGGAAATGAAAAAAAGCCCAGCTAAGGATCCAAAACTTTGTAACGCCCTCCCCGCAGGGAGATTCATCCGTCTCTCTCTCTCCGGCTGTGTCTTTTGCCAGAAGGTGAAGCTTCTTTGTATAATACAGATATTGCTCTCCCATGAGGCAGTGCTCAAAATGGCTTCGCGCAACATTAAAAATCCCCAAACAGATGAGCTTTATCAGACCAACTTGTTTTTTCGTTAGTTAGTTTTTTAAGTGGGTAGCTGTGTTGGTCCATAGCAAAACTCAAAATCAAAAGTCAAGTAATCACTTTTGGTAAAGTTTCTTTTCCTTTGTTTTTTTAAATTATGCATTATGCTATTTCGGCTGCTCTTAACGAAAGACACTGCATGGCCCTGGGGTTTGGATCTCACTGTTTAAAGCGTTGCAAGCTTTGGGGCTTCTCTGCTCCTTAGCTAAAAAACAGATTCCCTGGCAGAAATGTGCCTATAGCTCTTTCCGGTATACAACATTCTTTACAGCAGTCATTCCCAGCCTTTTCAATATGGTGACTCACAAGTCGAAGCTGACTCGGTATGGTGACTCACGTAAACAAAACAAGCACGCACAAATCGATAAAACAGCAAAAGCCTCCAACCCACTTCCACAGGCTTCACACCCTACTTTTGGGTCACATGAAGCTGCCTTATACCGAATCGGACCATTGGTCCATCAGTGTCAGTATTGTCAGCCTTGGCCTGGATAGCCCAGGCAAGCCCGGTCTCATCAGAGCTCGGAAGCTAAGCGGGGTTGACTCTGGCAAGTACTTGGAAGGGAGACCTCCTTGGAATACCAGAGGCGGGAGGCGGGAGGACAGGCTTTATTCAGCCACCTCTCTGAATAGCCTGCAGTCCCCC